ATTTACAAGGAGCAGTGAGTTTGCCATGGAGAAGACATCCAGTTTACACCTTAAACAGTGGTAGTTGCTTCTACTGTTTGCCTTATATTGCTTGTTTGTGTGTGCTGTGCTTAGCTTAGGCACTTCACACGCCTGATGTGGAAACAGCATTAAGAATTGCTAGACCTCAGGCTGATGTTGATCACTGCTGCTCAAAACAAAAAAAACCCCAACAGTAAGTAAGGCTTAGTCCGCAAACAAACGATAACTTCTTGAAAAGTAGTTTCAGTGGTTTCTCATCTTCATGGAAGTCTAGATCCTCTTTCCATGACCTCAGTAGAACAGAAATGGCAATCTGTGAATTTTCATCTGAAAAACCAGAAGTACAAAAGGTTAACTGAAAAATGGTGAGACAACCAGAAATTAAATAGAGTTTTTGGTTGCCAGTATGTTCTGGTGGTTGCATCAGAACAATCCATATTGTAACAAAATGTAAGCTCTCTGGAAAATAACAAAATGTTGATTGTGGCATCACATTCAGGCAGGGGAAGTGGGATCTGTTACAGGCAAGGAAGAACACTGTTTTACTGTGGGCTTAGATAAAATGTACGGTAGAGCCGTGTTTTGTGTGAGCATGCATTTCAGCTCGAGTGCTAAGATCCTAGTAAAAGACCTTACTCTTAAAGTGGCTTAGTGAGACTACCTGTATGAGTTGTTGCCTAACATCATTATTTCTCTGAGTCTCGATTTTGTGTTAGAGTAGGTAGTCTGGAGCTCTTCTAATGATCACCTGCCATGGTGCTGGGTTATCAGGTGTGTGTGGGAAGTAATAAAAAGAAACATTTGGGGTTTGTGCACCATCAGCTGAACTCTGAGGCAGATAGTTTGAAAACTGGATTAGCAAGGTCTTTTACCTTCTAAAACTACTTACGCTGTTGTATCAAGTAGGTATAAACAAGTAAAATAAAATATTTTATTGGCTCTTTTGTGCTGTGTCTGCAGTAAGAAATTACACGGTTTACATTTCTGATGATGATAAAGTCTTTCAGGAGGTTACTTTATGCAGCTGTAAATCAAAGGTTACCTTTCAGATTGCCTATGAAAGCTATATAATAATTAAGATGGGGAGCTCTGCTTTTCTAAGGTTGAGTCGCTTGATGGTTCATTTCTTGTCATCTTAATATAGTAACAATTTAACTGGATCTTTCTGTCATCTCCTCCAGAAGCATATCTGATTGAAAATGACCAGCCAGCTAATCTCAGTAAGCTGAGAGAAGCTGAGCTGGAGTGCCAAACTGGACTTAAATGATAGGATTTTATCAATAAAACGGTATTGATCTCTAATACTGAAGCTCCAAAGCCTGACTTTGTTGTATTAAGCATAGAAAAAAATGGGGAATGCCCTTAGATTCTTCTCTCATCTGATTTTAAAAAAAAAACCTGCTGCAAGCTATTGTGCTTCTGTTGGTGAAGCTCCAGAAAGTGCACATATGGAGCTATAACAAATGTGAATGAATCAGCATGTTCTTGCAGTACTTTAAACACCTTAAATTACTTAATAACCAGTGCATTTTGAGAGAGAGCTCTCTACTTTTAAACTGTGTTTTTCCAATTGCAGCTTTGTTGAGTGCAGCCTTTCAGAAACTTTGCGGGCTGTTGTGGGACATTCATGCTGCCCTAGGGGCAGGTGATGATGTATAGCAGGAGGTCACAGGTGACTGGGACGTGCTCCTCTGGCCACCAGAGCCACCAGCCACTTGCTGAAGCTGCTTGTATGCATGCAAGAATAAACATACCTACCCAGAAATTTCCCAGAAGGACTTGCTGAAGTTTGCCAGACTTAGTGTAACTTCCCACTTCTGTTTTCAGTGACTCGGAACTGCTCTCCTGTTCTGCCTTTACTCGGCCAGCCTAGGCTGTTGTCGCTTTCTGCATCTGTTTTTCATGGTGCTTTAGCTAAAGGAATGTAACGAGGGGGCCACGGCTCCAGCCAGCCTTGTTTCCTGTTGCTGCCTTTTTTCTTTGGTAAGCGTATCAGCAATGTTTGGTCGCTCAAGAGTGATACTTGTATACAGCTTCTCTTCCCCTTGAGTGATTGACATCTTGTTTGTGAAGTTGAACTAAACTTTGTTTTCTGTTCTAGACTAAAGTAACACTGTGTGTCTGAGTTGTGATAACCACTGTCTTTGTCTTCCATTAATTGTCAATTAAAAAAATATTTTCTAGACCCTCCTTTTGGCTGGGGAATGAGACCCTGAAGGTGCCTGTAGAGCTCTTTGCCTTAAATAGAAGACGACTGTGTGACCGCCTGAGACAGAATAAGGATGTCCAGAAGAACTCGGTTGTTTTGCTGCAAGGCGGAGAAGAAACCCAGAGATACTGTACTGATACTGGTATTGTGTTTCGGCAGGTAAGAGCTGAATCAAAACTTCAAATCAAATTAAGAAACTCTTCAGCTACATGAATTTTTAAACAATTTTTAATTATTTTCCCTCTCATGTGTGTTGCTTTGCATCACTTAGATAAATTGGCTTCTTTATAACATTGCCTCTTCAGCTTTGAGTTACTCTCTCTTTCAGTGCTTTAGTATGCAGACTCGTTATTAAAGGATCCAAACCTGTTCAAGGCCCTGCTGCCTGTCAGTGTTTAATGTGGTATTAAAGACAGCGATGGAATATTTTGTAGCTCTTTCAGTCTTGTCTGTGACTCCCCAAAATAACCTTCTTTCTGTCTGTAGTGAAACATTTTACAGTGGACCTAAACTGAAATAATTTATAGAAAAGCCTATTTCAAGCTTTTGTAAATAGTATATTCCATAATGCAGGATGTATTTTAGAATTTACAACACACGTCTTCTCAAATTAGACTCATCCTTAAGTACCCATGTGTTCTTCTGTCACAAATAGGACTTAATAACTTGTTAATGTCACACCAAATGCATTCTTAGTCTTTGGGGAAGTTGATGTAACAGAACTCTAATTATGCATACCCTATACTTTGTGTAACTGCCTCAGTACTTTTGTTTTGTGAATTTAATTGAGCTGTTGTATGTTACAAAGAAACAAACCAAATAAATTAAAATCTAGACAGCGCATATGTAAATGTAGCTGTTGGTCTGTTTTTAAAGGATATGCACCTTTCAGGGTATGGGAGCATTATGTCTGTTCTTACCAACATAAGCTTACCAGCTTATTAATCTCTGATCCTTTCCAGTTGCCAACAGAAGGATTTGTATTATTGTAACCTAAAACTAACCAGTCTGAAAAGCTGTAGACCTGAATCACTACCACCACCCCACCAAAAGCAAGAGATAACTCTTTCAGATACATGGAAGTCAGAATTAGTATGTACTGTAGTGTATTTTTAGAGCTGGTAGAAGTGAGGGTTTTCTTTTAAGAATATATTTTGTCTTAACCTAGGAATCTTACTTTCACTGGACTTTTGGAGTAACTGAAGCAGGCTGCTTTGGAGCAGTAGATGTTGATACTGGAAGATCCATGCTTTTTGTTCCACAACTCCCTGAAAGCTATGCAGTTTGGATGGGAAAGTAAGATGTACTTTTTAACTGTGTTCCCTTGTATCTGAGTACTTCATGTAATGTAACTGTAGAACTGGGATGCTATCTCATTTTCATCAGATTCCACCAAATCATTTGGTGTGAAATGTAGTGATCTGTCCATACCATGATACAAAACACAATTGACTGATATTGATCACAGGTAGAGAAAACCTTTGGAACTGGAACCTGTGGGTCTCATGGTATCCGTGTAAGGAAGCTCTACTGTAAAGAAAAGTAGAAGTCTTGTGTTAAGACCAGACAAGTTAAATAGTAAAGCAGGTGCTTTCAACTTGATTTACCAGTTTGCAGCTGCCTTAGATAATGAAGCTTTTTGAATGGCAGAAAGTAGCTTAGCCCCTTTGATACTTCTTTTGATGTGAAGTGACAGACTGGGGAATGTGATTTTAATTCTATTCTGCGAGTATGCCATAAACATCTCTCTCTCAACATCGGTAGTAAATATTGCTCAGTGCCATAGCAATGGAGGAATTGATGTATTCATGTATTCATTTATTTTCACAGACTTAATTGTATTTATACCGTCTAACTGTAATTTTTTTTTATTGTCTACGTTGTCTCAGGACATTGGATTACTTCTAATATAATATTTTGAGCTCAGGTTGCTTCACTTGTAATTGAAGCTATCACTTATGTTTTAATGTTAAATATGGGAGAGGGAAAACAATTGCTACCAATCCCATATGCCGAACTGTGCCAGACCATATGGTAGGGCAAGGCTGCTGTCTTCTCAGTGAGTTTATATGAATATCACTGTCTTAGACCTGCCTGGGAATGGAAATTGTTTGTGATAGCATAAAAATGTCTGAATACTGCTGTCTGAAATATTTCAGCTGAGAGCTGCACCTGTCTGTGAGGACAGGGTCTGTTTAACCCCTACATATACTCTCTGAAGTCTGTTCCCTAGTGGTGCTTGTTCCCATTTATAGACAAAGCTTTTTCCTCCTGCTAAGTTCTCTTCTGCTGGTTGAAATGCGCTGTGTCATACCTACGCTGATTGTGCCTAATCTGAAAAGGCCTAAAAATATTATTGAAATTTCACGGCCTCATTCTGCACTTTCAGACAAAATACTGTAGTGTTTGTAAGCGGCGGCCTTTTTGATTTGTTTGTGCAGAGCTTGTTATTGTTTCATTTACAGAACTACAAGTCTGTTTTATTGTCTTTGTGTCTTCTTGCAGAGTATAACAAATTATCTTTATCACAGCATCCTTGTTTTTTTAAATTCTTCTCCTTACCCTTCCTGATTTCCTCTGTTTGAATCTTTGTTTTCTCTTCTGTCAGCTGCGGTCGTGTACTTTTTCTGCTTGTCAGAAGGAGGATGGATGAATAACTCGTTTGTGAGTCAATAGCAGTTCTGCTTCATAAGTTGGTTGGCAGGGGGTACTGCACACTGCTAGAGATTGTGTTTCTTCCCAGAAGACTCAATTTTAAGTCAAAATTAGCACTGAAAGAAAAACACAAATAAGTTTTCCTTCCAGCCACTGCTGTTTATCTACTATAGTTTGCCTTGAAAGTGCTTGGAAGCGCTGCCTAGGCACTGAAGAAGCATTCGTGAAGCATCAGTGAAGCACAGTTCACTAGCTTGTACGATATTTGCAAGGTTGGTATCTTGCAGAGGTCTACAGTGGGTCTTCTATGGGGTGCAGTTGCTTTGCTTGGTGTTTATGTTGCTTTCTCTTTAACACCATTATGGGAATCTGCTATGTGAGTTTAGGCAGAAAGGCAGATTCTCTTCAAGTTAATGCAGAAGGCTCTTTACTACTACTTTACTACTACTGTATTGCTAAATGTATTGTTTGATCTGCTGTTGTGCTTTCACTTCTGAAGGACACGTTTGAGTTGTTTTCAAAACATAGTTTAGGTAATGTGGCAGTCAGAAGGGTTCACCTTTTTTGCTTTGAAGTAAAAGGATTTCTTTGCTTCTTTCAAATTGCAGTCGTGGTTTGGCCAAAACCAATGAAGCATCTGAGACCATTTGCTTGGATGCGAGCAGACTATTAGTTTACAAATGAGACCATGAACACTGTAAATATTTCAGTCTCACCAACTGCACTTGTTTTGATGATCAGTTTTCCATGCTGAGGTGGTATCTGGGAACTCTGTAGAACAGAAGAACGGGGAGTTGTTGGACACACCACCCTGGGCTGTGGTCCGCCGTGGACTAAGTGCTGCGTCGTACCCATGTTGGGGGTGACTGCTACTTCTTTGGAAATTTTCCTCATCTTGTAGGACTTCTTGCTCAAAAGATTTGTAAATAGCTGTAAGGCTTCCTTTCAGAAGTCTCTCAAGTGAAAAATAACCTCTGCAGTTTTAAAAGGGAGGAGAGAGTTAATTGAACTTACAGACTATGGGTGTTCTCCAAAACACCCACAGCCTCTTAAGGTGGCAATCGCTGAATTATGATGAGAGTAATTGTAGGACTGGTGGCCCTACTTTCGTGTTGGGAAGGGATTGCAACAGCAGTTGTTAAATTATGAGTGTGGGCATTTCTACAAATGTTGGGCTAGCCCACTTCTTAGTTGTTGCCTATTTTTATATATTTGCTTTTGGAGGAAGTGTTTAAGAAATGAATGTGGTAATATAAGATCGTAAAGGCTTCCGAAGCGTAACTGTGTTGTAAATGTCCTTTTTCTTGGCATGGTCTTACCTAGTCAAGCTTGTGGTGCAAAGCTGTTAGCAATCATTTCTATTCCTAGGAAGCATTTAAGTTGGTATGACTGCATATCTTGCACAGAGACTTCAGTTTCACTAATTAAAGCTGCACCTGCCATTTACCTCTTTAATTATAAATGACAGAACTAGTCAGTGTGCTGATTAAAGATATTTTATAAAGTAAAACATACTGTACAGCAGCTGCTTTATTTGGAGTGGATGCCAAAATAACTTAATTGCCTTGCCACGTAAAGGGTGTTTTTAATAGAAAACAAAAATATTTAACACTTTCATGCTCTAACTTTAGAAATACATATTAAATGGGACAGAGCAATATTTAGATGCAATTTCCTGTGTTTTCTTTGAAGCCCTGATGGCTGATTGGTAAGTATAACAACATTAATCTGGCATTGCATCCACTGTAAGTAACATTTTTCCTTGAATTTGATGGGAAGCTATCTGTATTTGCGAAATTGAACTTTTGTGTGGCATTTTGAAGCTATAATAAAACACAATGAAATGCTTTGCAAATGTTAATAATTTCTCAGTGATGTAATGATGTAGCTTTTCAAAGATTGTAATTTTCTAAAAAGATTACAACCAAAATCAACCTTTACCTTGGTCATTAAACTTGACTGACTTCAGCAACACTGGGAGGTTTTACTGCCTTTGGAAAAAAGTGTAGAAGGATGTGGTTAGGTTTTTTGCGTGTTTGCTATTTTTCCCCAAAACACTTTTGGGAAGAAAAAAACATAAAAACTTTTCAGGCTATTTAGTCTTTTAACTCTATTTTTTCCCCCATCTTTCTTCATCTCTTTTTCGTAATGGAGATTGGTGAAATTTTGTGGCATTTGCATGTTGAATAATTGTGAGGATTAAATCGTGTACATCGTGGTATGTTCATCTGACTGTATCATGGTGGCTGAGACCGGTGCATTAGTTAGTCCTAGGCTTGGCTGCAGGAAGGCAAAGACTGTACTAAGCCTGTTCTATGCAACCTGAAATTGAAGACAGCTCTTTGGAGAGATGGTGGAGTGTCTGGGGGTGCTGTAGGGAACAAACTCTAAATGACCTTAATTGCTCTTCTTCATGTAGATTTTTCAGGAATGAAGGACTTTTTTCTAGATGAGTTTTATTGATGTGGTGCATAGACGTCCTCTTCTCCGTAGCATCCTCTGAAGCAGTGTATTCAGGTGGTATACTCTAGAAGAGTCTTTGGTTTTACTTTCTGAACTGATCTGCAATATAAAAATACCCCTGGTATTCTTTATTATTTTTTTCTAAAATGAATTATGTTTAGTGTTCTTTTTCCCATACCTGTCATTTGATCTCTTCCTGCCATTTGTCCCTTCCCCCTACCCACTGAATCTTTATTTTGCTGTTGAAAAAAATATTTCTTTAGTCACTTTAGGTCATCTTATTACAGTTTTGTACCACCTGGCAGTTGCAGTTTATCTGCATAGTTTGTTGCCACCTGTTTGTTGCCAGCCTGTTTGTTGCCATCTGTGGATCTCATGAAAATACTCAGTCCTGCTTCTTTTTCTGAACAGCATCAGATCTAATTTCAGCCTTTGCAGTATCCCACTAGTCGGACTTGCAGTCCGTTGGTGTTTATCACTTTAAGTTCTGAGAACATCAATCTAAATTGATACGGCACTTTTCAGTGTGGTGATGGGAGGGTTTCCTAGCCCTTGAAAAACTCATCTTTTAATTTATTTGTTTATTTTTATTTTCTGCTTTAGGCTTTTCACTTTTTTTATTATGACTAGTCATTGGGTTTCAGGTCACGTCATAGTGTTCCTGTCCAAGCTAATTTGAGTTGATTTTGGAGAGTAACAGTCTTGAGAGAGATTTTTATCAAATATTTTACTATTATTCAAATAGTACATCTGTTGCTTTACCCTCCATCTGATCCTTTCAGAAATGTACAATAAAGCTGGTTGCTTTTGATTGACGAGACTTCCTTGTGGGATTCCACACACCGCTAATTTTCCGTGATTCCAGTTCTCTCCCTAGTAGACTGATTTCCATTTCTTGTCTCCTATTCATTTGTTATGGAATTTTCTGTGGATAAAAATTACTTTTACAGAATAATTAATGTCTGGATTGCCTTTGCCACTTTACTGATGATTGTTTTTCTCTAAACAGTGCTGCTTGAATGCTCTGGTTTGTTAAATGATCAGTTTAGTCACTGTCCCAGTATTGTAATCGTCCATGAGCCTTGATGGTCCAGGATAAATGTGTATTGTTTCTTTGAATTTTACTACAGTAATTATTTGTATAAGTCTTTGCTTTCTAGCTGCGTAAGTTTCCTTGT